AGCACCCTCTGGGGGTGGTATCGGCTGCAACTGTCCTGCCGGCCGCTTCCGTGATGATTTCATGAGCTGGTAGGTGGGACACGATGCCACGTGTCGCTGCAAGTCGGTCAGCATTTCGGGCCAGTAATAATACCGCTGCTGCTGCTGCCGTGTTTTTTCAACTCCGAAATGGCCAGAGGTGACTCCGTCATGTGCCTCCTGTAGTAGTAATTCCCGTAGCAGTGTGTACCCCAGTACCTAGATGCGGTCGGTCCCGGCTTTTACGTCATAAACTCCCTTTGCTGCTGCGAATTCCCTCCTGTGAAGAACGGGTCTGTTTGGTATCTGTGGGTAAATAGTCCTGTCAGTAGTGGGCTGGTCTGGGCAAGTAGTATTGCGTGGATTTGGGCAGTGGGGCGGGTCAGTGCGTCAGCGATGTTGGATGCCCCCTTTTTGTAGGTGACCGTGTAATGAAAATTGGACTCGAGGAAATCGAGCTAGCGGACCTGTCGTGGGTTGAGGTGAGGCTGTGCGCACTGGGGCTGTAGCGATTTATGGTCTGTCCGTACTGTCACATCTGCGCCGATCAAGAAACGGCGCCACACTTTGAATGCGTGCACGATCGCGAGCATTTCGCGGTCTTGTATCGGGTATTTTTTTTTGGGCGGATGCAGTTTGCTGGACTCGTATGCGATAGGCTGTAACCCGTTGCCGAAATCCTGTAGCAGTACGGCGCTGATGGCGATGTCGCGTGCATTTGTAACTACTTCGAATGGGCGGTGTGGGTCGGCGATGCGCAGTACGGGCGGTGAACAGAGAACATTTTTCAGGGCAGAGAAGGCAGCATGCTCTTTCTCCCCCCACGTAAAAGTGACCCCCTTTCGCAGTAAGTCTATTAGTGGCACCGTTAACCGCGCCATGTCGGGGACGAACCGACGCACGTAATTGACGAATCCCAAAAAACTTTGCAGTTCCGTGATATTCGTCGCGCAGTGCCACGCTTTTACCGTGTCCAGCTTCTTCGGGTCAATTTCAACCCCAACCTCCGGCATAACGTGCCCAAAAAACTCTAGCCTATCCTGAAAAGGCTCGCACTTGGAACCCTTGGTAAGTAGCCGGTGCTCGTCTAGGATTGCAAATACTGCTTCCAGATTTGCTAAGACCAGCCCACTATTGACACGCCTATTTACCCACGGGTACCAAACGGATCCATTCTTCACAGGAGGAAATTCGCAGCAGTTCGCAGCAGCAAGGGGAGTCTACTATGTAAAAATCCGGACCGACCGCATCTGGGTACCAGGCTATACACTGCTACGGGAATTACTGTTACAGGAAGCACACGACGGAGTTACCTCGGGGCATTTCGGGGTAGAAAAAACACGGCAGCAGCTGCAGCGGTATTATTACTGGCCCGAAATGTTGACCGACATTCAACGACACGTGGCATCATGTCCCACTTGCCAGATCATGAAGTCATCACGGAAGCGGCCGGCATGATAGTTGCAGCCGATACCACCCCCAGAGCGTGCTTGGCAGCAGGTGACGATGGACTTCGTCATGGGGTTACCGGCCGGAGCGAGTGGGAACGACGCGATCCTGGTCGTCGTCGATCGACTGACGAAAATGGCACACTTTGCAGCCTGCAAGAAATCAATCACAGCCGAAGAAACAGCTCGCCTATTCATCGCCACCATCGTTCGACTGCACGGGATACCAGAAGCGATCATCAGCGACCGAGACACGAAATTCACCAGCAACTTCTGGCGGAACCTGTGGCAGCAGTTCGGCACGCGACTACATTTCAGTTCTTCGTACCACCCCGAAACCGACGGACAGATAGAAAGGACAAATCAGACCATGGAGCAACTCATCCGAGCCACGTGCGACGACCCAACCACCTGGGAACAGCAGCTGCCACTCATCGAGTTCGCGTACAACAACTCACCTTCCGCCACGACCCAACAGTCACCATTTTACCTGAATAATGGACAAGACCCAACAGTACCCATGACCCCGAATCCCGACAACCCGGTGCCACGAGCGCAACAGTTCGCTGAAATTTTACAAGCAGCACGGACCTGGGCAGCAGATGCAATTAAAAAATCAAACATCATCGCTAAACGCAATGCCGACCGCCACCGCCGACCTGTCACTTACCAGCCCGATGACCTAGTCTTACTCGACACCCAGAACCTCCGCCTACCCATTACTCCAAAACTCCGCCCTCGATATTGTGGGCCATTCCTCATCAGCCACCTGATCACACCCGTCACCGCCCATCTCCTCCTCCCTACTGACTGGTACGTCAGCCCGTCCTTCCACGTCAGCCTGCTCCGCCCCTACGTACCATCCACCAGCCAACTGCCCCGCAACCGCCCAGCCAGCATGACACGACCGCCGACCGAGCCAATCATCACGCCCGAAAAGATTTTGAGCCACCGAGTTCGTGACCCACGAGGAGCTCGAAGGATCGAATTCCTGATCCGCTGGAGAGACCGTACGCCCACCGAAGACAACTGGGTTCCCCTGGACGGAATCGACAACCATCCCGTCCTCACCGAGTATCTGCGCAGCCGAAATTTTCGGGATGTACACGAACTTTCGTAAAGGAGGGCCTCCTTAGGTGGGGGGGTAGTGTAAGGAAAATTCCCTTTCCTTACTTCGCGCCCCTGCTTAGCGCGTACATCACTGTAGCACCATAGTCAGCACCGTTACCACTCGCAATCCTCGCATCGACAATCCTCCCGCCACCTTCGCACGTCGCACCCCGACCTCACGGCTCGGCGGGTAACCAGCGCTTCGGGCCTCCACCTCGACATTTCCCGACCACAGTCCCAACCTCAGTTCCAGGCCCGTCGCGCATCAACCATAGTTCATTACCGTTACCATTGTAGTTTCGCTATATATTCTTCGCTCAAAACCTTCGATCATTTGCACTCTGATAGTGCAATACTCGTTCGATCACTCAATTGCACTCGTAACAGTGAGCAGGAGAGTGTAGGCTCCTTTCTTGGCAAATGACACACTTATAGATTCTGTCTGATTGCGAACCTCACTTGTGGTTGCGATGCGATGCGAGGAAAAACGACCCGTAATGGGGCGAGGGTTACGGTGTCCTCACGCGGGGCACGCCAGGAAAACGACAAACCCAGGGCTGGGCACTCGGCCGCTCATTACTGCTGCGAAATCGGGCGGCCGACCCTTGGGCTTAGGGCGTGTAAAATTGTAATGACCAAACGCTATGGTCGATCATTTGGGCGTTGCTGGCGAGTGCGAAATATGTAACACTTAAGCGAACCCCGCCACAAAGATCGTCAGCATTTGGAGCACCCACCCCGAACCACCCCCTTTAATTAAAAAGGAAATGTTTCGATTCCCTTACTACATTCGAAAGGGGTGTGGAATACGGGGGATCTGAAGCCTAGACTAGAGTGTTAACCAGAGCAGTGGGTTTAGGTAAACAGAAAAAAAGGTTCCACACTGAGCATCAGTTTAATCGTGTCCCAAATTGCGGTGCGTAAATCTCTGTTCCTAAATTACCACTGAACATCTGTCAGACCGGGGTTACTACTCCCATCGGCATAACCCTAATTCCTCGCAATCGCCAGAAACGCCCGAATAATCGACCATAGCATTTGGTCGTTACAATTTTCTTCGGGCTTGGTTGGGGGCCGAGCCACGATCGCACGTGGCTCGGCCGAAAGCCGGCACAGCCCTGGCCCGGCTGACGCAGCTTTGCTGGGACCACCTAACCAATCCGACGACCAAGGCTGGGCCAGGCTGACGCAGCACGCACCCGACTGGTTACCCGGCGTCGCAGCGAGTGTAGGACCCGTACCGATTTCTCCAGGTCAATTTCCCGCGTTCACGAAATCCGTTCCCTCCCGGCATGGTGCCCCTGCGAAAACCTGTCGGCCTGTTTGCAATCGCTTCACCCGTGCAGGCAGAAAAAGCGTACTTCTTCATGTGGAAGCTCGAGCTGTACACATGATGCTCACCCCATGCACGCGCAATTGGTCTGCACCAATTGGAAACTCTGCACTCGTGGGGGTTTTGCCCTGGGGATGCACCCACGATACACGCACCTTTGGACTACTTGCCCGAGTTGCACAGATACAACCACAGATGTATTCTGACCAAAACACAAGACAGCCACACCCTCTGCCACCAGGTTTCTGGCCAGGGACAACGTCGCGAATGCGTCTGTGCGAAAACCACACATCCTCGCTTCCACATTCGCGCACTTCAACCTGACACGTAAGCCGTGTCAACGTGCTCCAAACAAACCCATGGGCATATTCATGGCCCGACGTGGAACCTGCACCTGCTCGATACAAACACATTCCCGTCCGCACGAAGAGCAGCAATCACACATCACCTCGCATGGCTGTGGTTACCGGCTTCCATGTGGTGTCGAAGGTCGACCAGATGCGCTAGCGTGTTTGCACGGCCAAGCACAACATTCTCAAAGTGCCCTCATCCCGCCTCTTCTAGTGTCTCGCGAAAATGTAGAATAAGAGGCCACACCCCCCCCGCACATTTCTCATTCGTCACCACATCCACAGCTCAACACCATGCCGCGCCTCTACCACCGCACACAGCTTGGCCTGCCAATTAAGCGCGCGATTTGCGAGCACCACGTCGCGAATCCGCACTTGCGCCATGTTGACCTCTTCCGGTGGTGTTTCACCAGGTTCGGCATCCGCCCCGACCGCAGCACGATCGGTCGTGTCCTGAAGGGCGCCGATCGTTGGGTCCGCCCTGATGCCGACGCCGACAACATTCGCGTCTGTGGCAGTGCATATCCGGTGCTCGAGCGCGCGATGGCCCGCTGGATCGCCAATGCGGGACTCGCGGGTGTCCCGCTCACTCTAGCCACCATTCGTGACCATGTCGCGAATATGGGACAGGCTAACGGCGCTCCGCCGACGTTTCGCTGCTCAATTGGCTGGGTTCGTCGCGCGCTGCGCCGTCAGAGCGTTCGCTGCATGAGCGCGGTCGGCGAGGCGGCCGACCAGGACATGAATGCCGTGCGGACAACTAAGGAGAAGTTGCCACAGCTCCTGATGCACCTGTCCGTCACTCCGAGCGACACCTTCAACTTTGACGAGACCGCATTGTACATCTCCATCCTGCCAAGGAAAACCTATGGTAGCGTGCGCACGGCCGGCCGCAAGATCGCGAAGCAACGTCTTACCGTCGGGTTCCTCGTCAACGCCGACGGTACCCGAAAGTTCAGGCCGTTGGTCATCTCAAAGTCGCGCTGTCCTCATGATTTCCGCCCCGATTACAACCCCGATGAGTATTGCTACTGGCGCCACAACGCCAAGGGGTGGATGCCTAGCAACGTAAGAGTGAAACAGAGGCATTTTACAGGCAAATGATGATTGTGCTCGCTAAACACAAGTACCCGCTCCTCACATTATGTTCTCTGTGTGTTTTTTGTCCCCCCCGTGCAGTTGTTCACGCACTTCATCGAGCAGCTCGAAGCTGCAATGTACGCTGAGGGAAAGAAGATTGTGGTGCTTCTGGACAATGCCAGCAGCCACACCCTTAAGACCGAAGGCGCCACGATGGAGGACCTGTTCGGTTTCCGCACCGTGGCGCTCGGGAACGTGCGGCTGGTTTATCTGCCGCCCAACACGACTTGTTTCACCCAGCCGCTCGACAAGGGGTTAATCTCCATGGCGAAGGCACGGTACCGGCAGCATTGGCTCCGTGCCTTCACCCGCACGTGGACGGCCGAAGGTGCCACGTCTGCCGTCGCGCGCTTCAGGCCCAACATGCGGGCGGTGGTTGAGTGGTTGAATGACGCGTGGATGAACCTTCCCCCGCGCGCCATCCAGCGCTGCTGGTGGCGCACGGGGTGCCTTCCGCTCGTTTGGGCACTCTCCTTGGACCACGTGGAAGCCGTCCCGCGCAACAACGGCGGCACGGTAGTCGATGGCGCGAATGGGATCGAGACCGGCCTCGATGAGGAGGTCAACGATGTTGGCCTCCTCATCGACCGGCTCTGCCTCGGTCCGAGCGCCATATCGGCCGAGGCGTTCATGGGGATTGATGACAATCAGCCCACGTGCGCTGAGCCCGGCGAGGATCCACTTATGCGGGAGCCGCTGCCACGCGATGCGGCAGTTATGTGGGAGGCGCCGGCGAACATGCAGCAGGTGTACGATGATAGCAACCCCGCCTCCCGCGAGGCTCGTCGTACCGCGCGCGCGGCGTGCGAGATGCTGATCGGGTACGCGCGGGCGACGTACATCTCGCCGCGTGTCCTGTGCGCCCTTTTCGACATTCGAAACCCCATCATTGTTGCGCGCATGGAGCGCGCGAGCCACGCCCTGTCAGAATGATGTAATTGTTTAGCCTGCAGTGGGGTCTATAGCGAGTACAACCCAACTAGGATTTCCTATATGTATCTCAACTGCTGCTAGTGCAAACCCCTCTTTCTGCTTCTAAATTTTTCCTCGTAATTGTGACATGCTATCAGAGCCTGTCCTTCCTCGGCCTGTGGGCCCACCAACCTGCTTCCGCTGCTACTCGATCTGTCGCACGCCCCGTGGCGTGCGACGTATTTTTCATCCCGTCGCGCGCCGTAGGCGCGCGGCGATTTGCTCTCTAGCGTGCGCCCCGAGGCGCGCGGCCCCTTTTCTTCCTGGCGCGCCGGCCCCGCTGGACATGCGCTCCCACCCCGTCGACCCTCGCGTCGCCTCAGGGGACCCGCGCGCCACCACCGTCGACCCTCGCGTCGCCCCCGGGGACCCGCGCGCCACTCCTGGGGAGCCGCGCGCGGCCCCTCGCTGCCCCGTGGTGGCGCCCTGGGGGCCACGCGCCACCCATGGAGCCGTGCGCGACCCCCCTTGCTGCCCCATGGTGGCGCCCTGGGGGCCGCGCGTCGTCCCCCTCGCCGTCCCCCGCGCTCCTGCCCCGTGCCACCCGTTTTAGGGTTTGGGGGTGGGGAGTGTGGGGGTGGCGGTTGTGGGGGTGCTGGTTGTGTGCGCCGTCCCCTACTCCTCCTCCTCCTCCGTCTCCCGCTGCTGCAGCTGCCGCTCAGGGGGGGGTGGGTGTGTGGGAGCCGAAGGAGTGGTGCTAGGGGGGTGACGTGGGAGTGGAGCTAGGGGTGCAGCAGGGGGTGTGTGCTAGGGGCGTGGGGCAGTTGGCGGAGGTTGAGCGGAGGTCGCAGTCGTGTCGCCAGCAGCACCAGTAGTCCGGAGGCTACAATCTCCGGTAGTCGCCAGTCGCCTGTGGGTCAGTTGCTCCAGTCAGGAGGCTACAATCTCCGCGGAGCCAGTTACTCCTGTAGTCCGGGCCATTGCTTCGGTAGCCACTGAGCCAGCAGCTCCTGTGTGTCTGCAGCTTCCGCCGTCGCCTCCCATCTCCTCTCCTCTCACAGTCCCTCCTCCTCCTCACATGCCCTCTGTGACTACCTCTAGCTTTACTTGGGCTTGTGAACTATTTTATGACTGCTTGTTGTGTTGATTACACCCCACTTTGGCTATGGGGGTGTGTCAGAATGATGTAATTGTCTAGCCTGCAGTGGGGTACTCTATAGCGAGTACAACCCAACTAGGGTTTCCTATATGTATCTCAACTGCTGCTAGTGCAAACCCCTCTTTCTGCTTCTAAACTTTTCCTCGTAATTGTGACACGCCCTTGATCTCAACAACGCCCCTCCTCCCGCTGTGACTCACGCGGACACCCCCCCACCAGAGACCCCTCGTCGCCGCGGCAGGGTGCTCCCGGCGTGGATGCACGTGCCCATCCCGGACTGGGTGGCTCAGACGGCCCGCCGCCAGGAGCTCATTGACGCCGGTGCTCCCGCCGTTATGAGCGGGTACCTGGCGGCAGCAGAGTGGATGCGGCTGTGAGGCGGGACTTTGCTCCCTTGGAGGCATGAATTTGCCTCATCGAATGTGTGTTGTGCACCCCTTGTGCACATATGCTATGCATTGTATCAATGTTGAGGATATTCGTGGGGAGGGGGGGTTGGGTACAGGTGGTGCGTTGTTATTGGGTGGGTTTGACAATGTTATGTTTGTGACTGGTGGGAATGTGGAATGAAATGGATTGTGTTTGAGTTGGGCGAAAATCATGGTAACCCAGCATACGATAGCCCAACAACGAACGCCGCCCCAGCACTGTTGGGGAAGGGACAAGCATGTTACAACATGTGCCAGATATAGTCACGTCTTACCTGTGACGAACCTTAACGAAGTGGGCGAACTGCAAAAGTCAGTTATTAGCCCAAAGCACAAGGGGACCTTGGAGGACTAAAACGCACATCAGGTGTAAGTAGTTGACCTGTTTTGAACGGTGCTACACCTAACCACCGCTATTTTTAAGGGGAAACCCAACCCACTAATCTCGCGTTTCAAAGTTACCCTGCACGTTTTCGACTATTTCAGTTCGACACTTAGATGACTGGGGCTATGAATGACGCCTAATGCTCGAAGTTTAAACTCATTATGCGAATCTGAATCCATAGCGCCACTTCTACAGTACTCTCTTCGGGGATCTGGAACAGACTCTCGCTAAAATTTAATGATGCCCCACACAACCCTGAGTCAAAGATTTAGAAAGGGTGCATACCCCACTTGTGCAAGTGGGGTTGAAAATAGACCGAAAGAAAATAGCGGTGGTTAGGTGTACTCTGTTCAGCTCATTATTTCCTACAGTAGTCGTTCAAGATGGACGCTAGTGACCTTGTTCATTGAAGGGGGCGGCATGGTGGAAGGGTTTGAACTGATGTATTTTTGAGCTGGCGAGCAATACCATGCGCGGAGAACGTGTGGTGTGATTTTTGAAGAAACCGTCGACTGTTGCCATGAGTCATGACACAGCAAACCCACAGATCTGGCGCCCGAATTTTGAGTTCGCGAATTTTATTCGTCCCCGTTGTTACACAGGGGTTGACGAATTTTTGTTTTGTGTCAGCAATGGGGCTGTGTCATTGGGTGCTCATCATGATTTGCCGAACCCTGCCGTATCAAAGTAGCCAGCCAAGCTAAAGGCATGTGCAAAGTGCTGCATGTACAGTCGGTGCCCATTTCAAGAACACTAAGTAGGCGGGCGGCATGTGCGTGAAACGTGTTTGAGTCATTTCGCCACATTCGCCCTTGTCGCCACGGGCAAAAATGTGACAGTAATATGAAATTGCAACGTGAATCAATTCAAGGGCTTTAATTTCGTAACCAGGTTAACTTCTCTGATGACGAGCAACCGTTGTTGTTTATATACTGTAGATGTTTTTCTTCCTCAACTTGGTGACTGTACCCCGAAATCTGTTACAAGAGTAAGCACAGTGAGGAGCCATAGCTAGGGTTTAGCTAGCTAGGCAAGAGAGAAATGAACAAAGGAGGAGTTTCACTAGCAGCAGTTGGGATACATATAGCAAACCCTAACAGGGTTGTACTCGCTATAGAGCACCCCACTACAGGCTAGATAATAACATTCTGACACACCCCCATAGCCAAAGTGGGGTGTAATCAGCAGAGCACGCAGTCATAGAGCAGGTTCACAATTGCAAGCAAAGCTAGAGGCTATCACAGAGGGCAAGTGAGGAGGAGGAGAGACGGTGGGGGCGAGAAGATGGGAGGCGACTGCTGAAGCTGCAGACACACAGGAGCTGCTGGCTCAGTGGCTACCAAAGCAAGGGCCCGGACTATAGGAGTAACTGGCTCCGCGGAGATTGTAGCCTCCCGACTGGAGCAACTGACCCACAGGCGACTGGCGACTACCGGAGATTGTAGCCTCCGGACTACTGGCGCTGCTGACGACACGACGGTTGCCTCCACTCAACCTCCCCCAACTGCCCCACGCCCCTATCACACACCCCCTGCTGCACCCCTAGCTCCACTCCCACGACACCCCCCTAGCACCACTCCTTCGGCTCCCACACACCCACCCCCGTGAGCGGCAGCTGCAGCATCGGGAGACGGAGGAGGAGGAGGAGTAGTGGAACGGCGCACAGAAACTGCACCCCCATACCCCCCACCCCCAAACCCTAATTCAGGAGAACGGGCAGCAGCAGGGGTGGGGCGCCGTCAGAAGCATGGGGGGCAGCGGGCAGCTCAGGGGCAGAGAGGAACGGGCCGCCCACGGGCCTGGCACAGCCAGATGAACCGCGCGCAGGCGGCCCGAGCCGCGCGTGGGCCTGGCGCAGCCCGTACGGGCCGCGCGCGGGCCAGGCGCAGCCCGTACGGGCCGCGCTCGGGGCTAGCGCAGCCCGCGCTGGCCGGGACGGGCGACCGGGGACGACGGGCTGGTCCCCGTCGCCCGTCGAAGCGCCCCCCGGGGGCGACGCGCGGACCGACGGGGCAGAAAGCCGCCGCGCGCCTCGGGGCGCACGGCGGGCAGAGAACCGCCGCACGCCCCGGGGCGCACGGTGGGCAGAAAACCGCCGCGCGCCTCGGGGCGCACGGCGGGCAGAAAACCGCCACACGCTCCGAGCGCGCGGCGGGAAGAAAAATCCGTCGCACGCCACGGGGCGTGCAACACAGAGAGTAGCAGCGGAAGCAGTTAGGTGGGCCCACAGGCCAGGAGCGTAATCGCTCTGATACCAAGTTACAAGAGTAAGCACAGTGAGGAGCCATAGCTAGGGTTTAGCTAGCTAGGCAAGAGAGAAATGAACAAAGGAGGAGTTTCACTAGCAGCAGTTGGGATACATATAGCAAACCCTAACTGGGTTGTACTCGCTATAGAGCACCCCACTACAGGCTAGATAATAACATTCTGACAAAATCGGCACAATGTTCAATTTAGTCACTCACGGGCAAAACGTTCGCGAGTGACTAATTTTCTAATTGTGAGGAGCAAATGTTTTGTGATAGGCTGAGCATCGACTGTAGCTCGACGTCGAGCTACGTCGAGGTTGTTGGGCAAGGTAGGTGAGCTGAGGGGTGCCATTTCTGTGTTCAAAGTACGCTTCAAAAATTGCTGACGCCAGCATCGCCATTTGTACGGAAATGTGCAACGATGATAGGCACAGAAACGGTCAACCAAAGAAAAATTGAGCGAATCTTTACAGTGTTTGCCAGACCACGTAAGACAAATTCACAGATTGGCATGAATCGTAATCTCGACCATTGCGAACATTTTCATTTCGTGATGAGGTTTTCGCAGCCAATAGACGCGCTCGAAAAAGACATTTGCGATTTCAGGTTTTGGTCCCAATTCAATTCTTCGACAATATCAATTCAATTGTTACTATTAAGGCCGGCATTTGTCTTGAGTGGACAGTTCGTCGCCGGCAATGTGTTCAAAGTGCCGCATTCGACGTCAATCGACGTCAGAGGCTTGACGTCACTCGACGTTGATCTCCGACGTCAAAACTACGTCCAAACTACGTCGAAAT